GGGGAAACCAGAGAGAGTTGGAGGAATCCAACTTCCATCTTCCAAGAGTTAAATGTTTTTTGACTTCAAATTCAGATTCATTAACTGTTAGGAGGCTCAGCTTCCCCTGTAATCCTCTCTCCAATCTCTCACCACCCAGAAGAGGTGTTCTGATAGCCGTGGAAATCTAAGTTTCCATATCTTCATCTTGTGTTGGGTTGCATTTTCACTCAACCTCAAAGATAACAACTTCATGCGTTTCATCATTTATTCACTCGTTTATTTACTCAACTTCTCTAACAGTTTTGCCCTGACTGTTTTGAGTGGTACATATGGAAGCTTCCTCAAAAGAGATTAAGAAACAGTTCAGTTTTTAAAACTAAGGTAGAACTATTTCTTATCTTAGTTTTACCTCAGATGCGTTCCTAGTCAATCAAATTTGAAAAGTAAGTTACAAAAATAATGCTGGAGAAAAGAGGAAAGAAACAGCTTCCATTACTTCTTGGTGTTTGTGACAAAAACACAAGGGCCTGGTGCTTGTATGCCGTTCCTTCCCCTGCTACCCCCTGCCCTGGAGGCAGGTGCTCAGGGAGGCACAGTGCTCCTCAGGCCACTGCAAAGCCAGTGTGCTCCCAGGTCCCACCTTCTCTCAGGAAGTCACTTGGGTGATAGCAAAAAAATGCTGCTTATTTTTGTTCCTATGTGGTCCCTCTGGAACAAATATATTCCATTTGGATTATGTCATGAATTTCATCTGAAATAATGAGACTCTCAGTACCTTTTGTGTGTCATCTCTCTTTCACATCACTTGTCTGGTGGCACCAAGAATACTTCCTCACTGGAAATAGATCCTTTCACATTCAATAATAGGGTGGCTAGTGTTCGTTTTTCTTGGGAAAACAAAAATGTGCGCCTTTTATCCTATTATACTGATCCACCAGCTTCAGATTATCTGATTTTCTAGCTTCTCATTTTCTCCTGTATCTTAATGCTATTATTAACAAGAATTCTGTTGCTAATGGTTTTGAAAAATAATATGTGTGCTTTCAGCTACTACCTCTATTTTTATGGTTTGTCTGATTTAGCTGGACTTTGATAATTATTCCAAATGCTGCTTTGTTGTGGATCAAATGTGAGGAGCCCTAATGCCCTTCTAGATTTATTTTCAATGTCCTTACTTTTTCTATGAGAATGGGGTTAATATTTTAACTATTAGCCACTAGATGAAAAATACCTCTAGGTGTATATTCTGTAGTTTATATCATATTTTTGAGTTTATATTTTCTATTTAATATAACATTATTCCCTCTCTCTCTCTCTCTCTCTCTCTCTCTCTTTCCTCCGCCCCCCCCCCACCATTTTTATGTATTTACTTAGGACAATAGTTCAATGAATATCTGTGCATATTTTTTTCATGGTGAAATTTTATAAGAGTATAATCCAGAGCAGTTTTCCCTTAATTTTTTTTTTTTTTGAAATCCTAGATGTTAATAAATGTATTGGTAAATGCATTCTTTGGTCAAAAAAGTTTGAAAAACGTTATTTAAAAATTACATTATTATACAAGTAAATAGAGACTTTAACATGCTAATTTCCATTGTGAATCACTTTAAAGATTATTTTCTATGCAGCAGTTCCCAAACCTATTTGATCATAGAACCCTTTTCAAATGATTATCCATTTGAGAAATGCCCTTTAACAGGACAGACATTAGTCCCTGCGAGCAGCATAGAAATAAGTAGCTTTCATCATAACCATCATAAAGAAAAATTTATAGTGTGTTCAAATACTTTAAATAATAGGAAAGCAGAGAATTTTAAATTTTAGGAAAAAACTTATTAAAATTGTATAAAGGGAAAAAAAAAACCCAACTATCTAGTTATTATTTACATGACTTACTCATTGTTAGTTGACAGTAAATTAAAGTTTTACTTTAAAATAGAAATTTATTCTTTTCTCTCTATAGTATTCGG